CCGGTGTTGAGAGTGCCCTCAGTGGTGCAGCACCAGCTGGGCCGGGGGGAGTGCAAGGGAATCACAAGATGTGACTGGTGGTTTTTACGTTAATGCAGATTCAGTTCTTAAACCAGTGCCCAGCCTGTCACCACCTTCACAGCACCCCAAGAACACTGCAGCCCACCACTGCCTCGGGCTCACAAACTCCCAAGAGCTGCCCCCAAGTGGCTGTGGTGCAGTTTTTGGGTCACTGCCCACCACCAAAATCTCCCCGGGCCATTGCGGATTGTTCACTGCTGTAAAAGACTTTCACAGGTTGTGAGGCGGGACCAGCCGCCCAGGAGCCCAGAGTGCGTCTGGCAGTGTAGCTCTAGGTGGGTGGGGCGGGGTTCCAGGGAGCTAAGGGGTGTGGTCAGTTGTTTCTACAAAGTCAGCACAGTCTCTAATCCTGGTGCTGGGCGGGCGACCACCCTGCAGAAACATCCTGAGAACACTGTGGTATATGGCCTTTATTATGTTGCAGTATGTTCCCTCTGTTCTTACTTTGCTGAGAGTTTGTATCATAAATGCATGCTGGATTTTGTCAGATACTTTTTCTGCATCTATCAATATGATCATGTGATTTTTATCTTTCATTTTGTTTATGTGGCGTATCATGTTAATTGACTTGTGGATATTGAACCAACCTTGCATTCAGGAATGAATCCCACTTGATCATGTTTGATTTTTTTTGTGTGTGTGTGTACTGTATTGCTGGATTCAGTTTGCTCATATTTTGTTGAGGATTTTTGCATCTGTGTTCATCAGGGATATTGGTCTGTAATTCTCTTTTTCTGTAGTGCCTGTGTCTGGTTTTGGTATCAGGATAATGCTGGCCTCATAAAATGAGTTTGGGAGTCTTCTCTCTCCAATTTTTTGGAATAGTTTGAAAGGGATAGGTGTTAATTCTTTGAATATTTGGTAAAATTTACCTGTGACGCCATCCAATCCAGAACTTTTGTTCATTGGGAGTTTTCTGATTACTGATTCAATTACTTGAGTAGTTATAGGTCTGTTTACATTTTCTATATTTCTTCTTGATTCAACCTTGGGAGAGTTGAGATGTCCAGGAATTTATCCATTCCTTCCAGGTTATCCAATTTGTTGGCATATAATGATTGTATTTTCTTATAATCATTTACCTTTTTGCTGTGTCACTTGTCACTTCTCTTTCATTTCTGATTTTATTTATTTGGGTCCTCTTTTTTTCTTGATGAGTCTGGTTAAAGTTTATCAATTTTGTCTTTTCAAAGAACTTGGTCCTGACTTCGTTGATCTTTTGTATTGTTTTTTTTAGACTCCATTTATTTTTGCTCTGATTTTTATTTCCGTCTATTCACATTGGGCTTTGTTTGTTCTTGTTCTAGTTCCTTTAGGTCTGAAGTTAATTAGATGGTTTATTTGAGCTTTTTCTTGTTCCTTGAAGTAGGCTGGTATTGCTATGAATTTCTGTCTTAGAACACCTTTGGCTGTGTCCAATAGATTTTGGTGGTTGTGTTATTTTCATTTGTCTCAAAGTATGTTCCTTGATCTCATTGTTAACAAATTCATTTTTAGTAGCATGTTATTTTGCCTCCACACGCTTGTGTGTTTTCAGTTGTCTTGTAGTTGAGTTCTAGTTTCATACCATTCTGATAGAAGATGCTTGATACAATTTCAGTCTTCTTATACTTATTGAGACTTGGTTTGTGTCCTAACATGTAATCTATCCTGGAAAACATTCCATATGTGCTTGAAAAAAGAATGTATATTCTGCTGCTTTGTGGTGAAATTTTCTAAAAATATATAAATTAATCTGGTCTAATGTGTCATTTAAGGCCACTGTTTCCCTGTTGATTTTCTGTCTGAAGATCTGTCCATTGTTGTCCATGGGGTGTTGAAAGTCCCCTACTGTGACTGTATTACTGTCGATCTCTCCCTTTATGTCTATCAATATTTATGTATTTAGGTGCTCCTATGTTGGGTGGGTAGATGTTATAGCCTCTTCTTGGCTTGATCCCTTTATCATTATGAAATGTCCTTCTTTGTCTCTTGTTACAGCCTTGTTTTAAAGTCTATTTTGTCTAATGTAAGTATTGCTACCCCAGCTTTTTGGTTGTTTGTTTTCATTTGCACTAAATATCTTTTTCTACCTCTCTCAGTCATTATCTTTTGATCTGAAGTGGATCTCTTGTAGGCAACATGTGTATCAGTCTTATTTTCTTATTCATTCAGCTACCCTATGTCTTTTGACTGGAGCATTTAATCTATTTAAATTGATTTTTGATAGATATGTATTTATGATATTTTATTCATCTTTTGTCGTGCCCCCCCCCTTCTTCTTAAAGAAGTACTTCTAATGTTTCTTGTAATACTGGTTTGGTGATGAACTCTTTTAGCTTTTTCTTATCTGGGACGCTCTTTATCTGTCCTTTGATTCTAAATGATAGCTTTGCTGGATAGAATAATCTTGTAGATCCTTGCTTTTCATCTTTGAATATTTCGTGCCACTCCCATCTGGCCTGCAAAGTTTCTGTTTGAGAAATCAGTTGATAGCCTTATGGGAGCTCCCTTGTAAGTAACTAACTGCCTTTCTCTTGCTGCTTTTAAGATTCTGTCTGTAACCTTTGGTATTTTAATTATAATGTGTCTTGGTGTTGGCCTGTTTGGGTTCATTTTGTTTGAGACTCTCTATGCTTCCTGGACTTGCATGTCTATTTCCTTCACCAGGTTATGGAAGTTTTCAGTCATTATTTCTTTACATAGGTTTTAAATCTCTTGCTCTATCTCTCCTTCTTCTGGGGCCCCTACAATACGAATGTTGGTATGCTTAATGTTGTCCCAGAGGTCTCTTAAACTTTCCTCATTAAAACTTTTTTTTCTTTTCGCTGTTCTGAGTGGGTGTTTTCCACCACCTTGTCTTCCAGATGGCTGATTTGATCTTTTTCATCTAATCTGCTGTTGATTCCCTCTAATGTATTCTTTATTTCAGTTATAGTTTTCATTTCTGACTGCTTTTTTATGGTTTCTATCTCTATGTTGAAGTTATTTCTCAGTAAGTTCATCTATTCTTCCCCTAAGTTCACTGAGCATGTTTATAACTAGTGTGTTTTTTTTAACTCTGTATCTGGTAGATTGCTTGCCTCCATAGGTCGATCTCCTATGTCTCCCAGTCTTGGCAGGTTGGTCTTATGTAGTAGGTGTCCTGTGAGACCCAGTGACATAGTCCAGGGGTGTCCCTTCTGTGGGTTGTGTGTGCCCTCCTGTTGTATTATATTTGAGACTCGATTGCAGTTGACACATCAGTGGTTGGGATTGACCCTCAGGCTGACTGGTATGGCTACAGTGAAAACGCTGTTGTGTAGGATCTAACCCTGTGGGGCAGGAGCCACTTTAGGGGAGCTCTAGTGCCAGCCGAGCCCACCATTTGGATGTTTCATTTGTGGGGCTAATTGGGTGGTGCTCTGGTGTGGTCTGAAGCTGGCTACCAGATGTCTTGGTTCTGGGGCCTCTTAGGAGGGGCTCAGGTGTAGGCCATAGGCCAAGGGAAGCACCATTTTTGCCCAGCTTGGGGCCCGGCCCCCTGGTGGGAGCTACAAAGTGACCTGCAGATTATTGCCACGTGTGCTGGGCTTGGACTTGCTTGGCAGAGGCTTTGCTGGGAACCAATGCCGGCTGCCACAAGTCCAGCCTTGGGACCCTTTGGTGGGGACCACGATGTGTGAGCTAAGGCCGGTCACTACGTGAGATTGGTTGTGGCCACTTAGTTGAAGCTATGTGCCAAGCTTGGGGTAATGGCACACTGGGGCTGGTTGTTGCTTGTTTGAGACCTTGAGAGATTTCAGGGAAGTCTGTAGCATGAGCCAGAGCAGGCCACTTGCGTGGGATAGCTGCTGGAAGAGGTTCAGGCTGGCATGAGAGTTGGGTGGGACGGGGTCTCAGGGAATCACCAGGACGGTGTGACTGATGTTCGCCAGGTTAATGAAGAGCTCAGATTTGGCCCCCACCTGCCCACTGGGTAGGGGGAAGACTCAACGAAGGAGCAGTGGCGCCTGCCAGCACTTCTTCCCCTTCCAGGGCTTCTGTCCCTGGAGAGAGCGGCGCCCTGCAGCCCTTGCCCTGTAGTCAGACAATTCAGTTCCTCCCCGTATGTCCCTGGTCCCTTCTCTGTAGCTTAGGGTGAGTGTTTATGAATGAGTGAGTCTGTGTGCAGACCCTTTCAGAGGATGCCTGGGTCTGCCGCAGCCCTCTCTCTCTCCTGGATGGAGTTCATGCTGGTTTCCACAGCCAGATGCTGTGGGGACTCCTCTTCCTGGCATTGGACCCCTGGCTTGGGGGCTGGGACCCCTCGCTCCTCCCAGGTACCTGTGCAGCCAAGATACCCCTTCTGATTCTTAACAGCCACGTGCGGGTGTGGGACAAGCCCATTCTGCATCTCTTCCCCTCCTACCAGCCTCAGCGTGGCTTCCTCTTTATGTCCTTCGCTATGGGACTTCTGTTCTGCTAGATTTAAGGCGATTCTCTATGATGGTTGTTCTGTAGTTTAGTTGTAACTGAGGTGGTCACATGAGGAGGTGAGCACAGCTTTTATCTGTGCTCTGCCCACTTGACTGCACGTATCTTACTCTTCTTTAAAGTTTCTCTTTGGCCCCCAGTTAGTTCTGGAGTGTTCTAATCATGGCTGTGGACCAACCGGCCTCCATTCTCCTGCCTGGTGGTGAATTCTTTGTGAGTGGTTCAAAAACCCTTAAAACCAGTCATTCTTTCCCATAGGTGCAGCTTGGGTCCACCCGTTTGCACCCATTGTTTGGTGGTTTCCTGTTTTGGCTGAGGGTTATATCGTGGGCCATCCACTGTTGACTCCTCAATAGAAGTAGGAAGATCTTTTTTTGTCTCGTGCTCCTCCCTGCCAGAGCAGCTTCTGTCACAGGATGGGCACCCTGCCTGGAGTGTTGGCTCAATGACTGACTGATAGTTTGGGTTTTCGCTCTCCCTTACAGATCGAGTCTGAGGACCTGGTGGCTGGCTCCCCTAGTATGGCCAATGAAGAGGATGACCCAGTCGTACAGGAGGTAACTGCTGCTCCCACCCCTGTCTGGGCTGCAGGCAGCGGGGCCGGGTCCCTTCATTGTCCTCAGGCCAGCCTGGGACCCTCCCCCCAGGCTCCGGCCTGGCTCATCCCCCTGTCCTTCCAGGTCTCTGACCCAGCGCCTCCTGGTCAGAGAGGCTTCCTGACCACCCTCGTGGTCGTGGGACGACGCCCGCCCTTAGCACTCAAGCCCCTCACCTTGGCGTTGCCTTACACTTGGCCATAGCACGCACTAGCCCCAGACATGTCTCCTTCCACTCGGATGTGAGCTTCACAAAAGCAGAGATTTTATTCCGTTCACATGCCTGCAAAGCCAAGTTCCTGCTCGGCCAGTAATAGTTCCTCAGTGACACTTTGGTGAAGTTTGACAAGTCCCCCTTGTCCAGATTCTGTCATTCAGCAGTTGCTCACTGGGTCCCCTGGGCTGTGCCGGTGGTGTTGCTGCCCTCGGGCAGCTCAGGATTTGTGGGGCGATACTGACGGGGAGGAGCCTCAGGGAGCAGGCGGTGGGGAAGCACTTTCCAGTCTCCCAGGTCGGGGTGCATCCTTAGAGCCTCCGGGCCTTTGCACATGCTGTTCCCTCCACCTACAAGGCCCTTCACACTCAAGGCCTGCAGGTGGGGGAGAACGTGGTTCATAAGAAGAGCAGGGAAGCAGGAGGTCCAGTGCTCCCGGGGGTGGGCTAGGGGCTGGGGGCAGTGAGTGCTGAGAAGAAAGGGAGTCGGGCCGTCAGTGTCTGAGGAGCTTGCAGACCACCTTAGGGCGACGGCTGACCCAGGCCGGATGGTGGAGGCACTGGGAGGATGGGCGGGCGGTGGGCAAGCTCTCCCCTGACCCGCCCTCGGACGCAGCCTGATGGGGCTGCCCCAGGGAGGCGCATTTTCCTTGGATTTTGGTGAGCCTGGGTTGGGGGCTGTGAGGAGGGTCCTGGATGTGTGCAGACTGGAGACTTGGTTCCCTTTGTTTTTAGCGGGAGCTGAGCCCTTCCCTCCACCCCAGATGGCCTCAGGGCCACTGACCCTCACCTGAAATCTGAGGCGCACGTGCCTGCCGGGGCAGGTCGGGCACTGGCTTCTGTCTCCTGGTTGACTCTTCTCCCCTTGTCCCCAGATCGATGTGTACTTGGCCAAAAGTCTGGCGGAGAAGCTCTACCTGTTCCAGGTAATTGTGGGACCGGAAGGTAACAGGGAAGCGGGTGCTGTGGGGCGGTGGAGGCGAGTGGGTGGTGGGCCAGGAGTCAGAACCCGGGGAACCTCAGCCTCACTTGGAATTCTCGGCGCAGAGCTCCTTTGCTTCTCCAGGCGGGTTAAATAGTCTCGTTTCCAGGACAGGAAACGGGGGCAGGCAGAGCTGTGTCGGGGAGCACTGGGGACTGTCCGCAGCACGGAGGCCCAGCTCCATCTCCACTCAGCTGCCAGCCCTTGGGCAAGGGCTTCAAGTGCTCTGTGCCCCAGTTTCCCCATTTGCAGCCTGGTGCTAGTAATACCTGCCTCGCAGGGGCCCCATGGGGATTAGACGAGTCCACATCAAAGTGCTTAGAACGCTGCCTGGCGCAGAGCTGGCACTGAGGTGGCGGTCACCAGCGTTATGGGGCTCAGAGAGGGGCTTTGTGGAGCATCTCCACCCTGCCAGCTGTGAGTCCCCCAAGTTGCTGCCCCACCCCCTGCCCTCCTGGCTGTGCCAGTAACATGTCACAGCGGCTCACAGGTGTTGAGCAATGACCGTCTGTATGAACTCGCTCCCCCCAGGAAGCCTGCGGGGCTGTGCCGCTGGCGGTGCCCTTTTCTAAGGGCTGTATGGAGGCCTCACCCACACAGCACACAGGTCCCTCATGTAAATGGGTGAGGCGGAGGGTTTCAGTCTGTGCACATGAGAGCCAGACCCCCATCCATTGGAGGACGTCCCCTCCTGCTCCCCTGCAGCCCCAGGCAACCATAGCCTGTCTTCTGTCCCCGTGGATCTGCCGATTCTGGACTCCTCCTATCAGTGGAGTCACACATGTGGCCTTTTGGGTCTGCCTCCTGTCACTGAGCATTGTGATTTCAGGATTCGGCCGTGTTTTGGCGCCTTGTTCCTTTTCACGGAGGGGTGACACCCCATGGCGTGGAGGTGTTTGCACACCACGCTCTGTTCATCTGTGCATCATCGATGGGGACTCGGGGGGTTTGCACTTGGGGCTCTGAGCAGTGCTGTTGTGAGCATTTCCCACAGGTGTCTCTGCACCCGTTCACATCGCTCTTGGTCACACGGAGACGTTTGGAGGAACTGCCGGGCTGTTTTGTACCATTTTGCATTCCTGACAATAGGTTATTACTTTAGTATTTTTGTCCCCATGTTGCACATGAGGAAACGAGGCACAGGGAGGCTGGCAGCTTGTGCACAGGACCTGGGACAGGGCAGCAGCTGACAGCTCCAGGCGTCTGTCTGCCTTTACAGACTGGGGTTGGGCGCCCGTCACGTGGGACTTCTGAGCCTGTGCCCGGGACTAACTGGTACTGGTGGCAGTGACCCTGTGTGTTCATGGTGGTGTGTGGCAGGACCTGTGCCCCATGAGACAAGGACCTTGCCCGAGTAGCAGGTGGCCCTTAGGACCGGAATGGAGGCCCGTCTCATTCCAGGACCTGTGCCCTTCACTGGTAGCCCTTCACCGGGCCTTGCAGACTGGGCCTCGGACTGCTCTGGGTGAGCCTGGCCTGGCCCAGGCCCTTTTCAGTCCTGCCGGGTCCCAGCCTGTTCCTAGATCCGTGCTCCTGCCCAAGCCCCAGCCCAGGGAGCTGGGAAGAGGTGCCGTGTTGCTACTGAAGTGAGCCTTTAGGAAACAGCTGGAATGTGGCTGACCTGAAGTGGCCTCCAGGAGCGTTCACTTCACACACTGCCTCCTCCCTTCCCCTCCCCCCCCCCAGGCTGTCGTGGTGTCGGCAGCAATGGCCGTAGTTTTTTTTAGAGAAAGGGTACAAACCCTGACATCCGTCCACCCAGGGGTATTTGTACAGTGGGGGGTACAGGAAGAAAGTGTGTGTGGGGACTGGCGGGGAAAGGGGCCCAGTGTGTTCAGAGTGGTGCCTTAAGTTGTGACATAAAAGTGTCTTCACACGTGACACCGTTCAGGGCTGTCTGAGGTCAGTGGCAGACCAGCTCCCTCTGTCTTCAGCTTTCTGTTATGGGAAAGCCACACCCAGCTACGGAGAGACTGGGGTGACTAGTCTGCCTGGCCTGGCCGGCTTCGAGGAGCAGCAGGGGGCCGGTCGGACTTCCCCCTTTGCTCCCTCGTCCTCCTCTGTGTGGTGGTTCAACCTTGGACCTCATCCTCCACTCCCGCGGTGGTGCCCCATGGGCCCCAGAGCCTTCAGGATCATGTGTGTGGGTCTCTGGGTTCCTGAGACTCAGCCACATGCCTGGAAGTCAGACTTCAAAAACAGCCCTTTAGGCGGTGGCCGTGGGGCTTCTTGGCCAGAGTTCCTGGAGCAGCTCTGGTCGGGGCTGGGCATCGTGCACTCACGGCGCCCTTCCCCTCCCCAGTACCCTGTGCGTCCAGCCTCGATGACCTACGAAGACATTCCGCACCTCGCAGCCAGGATCAAGCCCAAGCAGCAGAAGGTGGGGCTGCCCGCTGATGGGAGTGGCGGGCCGGAGGGCCACTGTGGGGCCAGGGACCTGGCCTGATGGGGATGGGAGAGCTGCTGTGGGCGGAAGCTGATGGGGGGCGAGAGCCCAGAGAAGGAACGGTTAGAGAGCTCAGAGGAGAGCGAGGGCCTTGACAGCTGAGGAAGGAGTTTGCAGAAAGAAAGAAAAGAGGGTGGCAGTTATGGAGAGGCCAGAGGAACGAGGCTCAGGATGGGTGACTAATGGCGGGGGGGCTCCCATGCAGGGGTGATGCAGGGCGATGTGGGGCCTTGGAAGGTGGGGTGACAGGGACCAGGACACCTGCAGACCTGCCCGTCTGGGCGGCCGCAGCTCCAGGCCTGTCGCCACATGAGAATGCTGGTTAGCATTGCCAGGTCCACTGACTTTTCAAGAGAAAGTGGAACTGAGGATTTTTATGAGAAATCTTGGTTTTTAAGTCCAGATAGAGATCTCTGGGAGCGGAGTGGGAGGGTGACAAGCAGGGCTATGTGCCTCCACCCCACCCCCCAAAAACCCACTCTGGCCTTTTCCATTGCCGTTGGCATCTGTGGCCTGTCATGTAGACTGAAGCCTCGGGGCCCCTGGGGAGGGCCAGGATTGGTAGGGACTGGGGTTCGGCGGTGGCCACGGTGTGATCGGGGGTGTCCCTGGGGACTGTGGCTCAGGGTCCTCATAGCTGTGGGGTGCTTGGTGCCTCCAGGTAGAGCTTGAAATGGCCATTGACACCCTGAACCCCAACTACTGCCGCAGCAAAGGGGAGCAGATCGCGCTGAATGTGGATGGCGCCTGTGCAGACGAGACCAGCACGTACTCCACGTGAGTCCCTGGGCCTAAGTGTGAGCCCCCAGGGGCCTTCGGGACACTGAGGCCTTGCACCCCGGTGCCAGGCTCCCCACTGGTGTCCCACCTTTGCGTGTCTGGGCCTGCTGTAGGCCCTTCCCCATGGGAGATGTCCTCCTGGGTGGGCCCTTTAAGGGGTGTGGCAGCTCCCACCAGCTGCTTATTCCCTGGGCACAGACAGGCCTTGGGTTCTGTCGTCCCAACCCCTCCTGCAGCCTGGGTCCCTGGCTGCTGGGTTTCACACAGTGTCAGGTCTGGAACTCCGTCCCCTTGACGTCCATTCTCACTGTGCTCCCAGGAAGCTGATGGACAAGCAGACGTTCTCCTCCTCCCAGACCACCAGCAACACGTCCCGTTACGCCGCGGCGCTCTACAGGCAAGGTACCCAAGCCTGGGCCCCGGGCTGCCACTAGTTGTACGATTTCAACTATGTTAAAATACATCGAATTGCATGCTTTTGGTGGGTGAGGCGTTTGGCATGTCAGATATCTCACAGCTGTTAAAAATACGAGGACTGGTATTGAGAGTTGATGAAGCAACAAAGGAAACAAATTTGAATGCTTAGGATACAAAATAGAGAAGAATCAAAAGTAGCCTCCAGTAACTATGTGACTCGACGCTCCTGCGTCTTTAAAGCCTCGTTCCTGGCGGCCAGGACCGTTCTCTTGTACTCTGCTTGGCTCAAGCACTCTGCTCCCTCGAGCCCACGCAGCTTCCGCAGAGCCTCCTGGGCCTCTGATTTCCTCTTTCAAGCCCACGTTGACCTGATAGAAACGGGTTGTCTGTGCCCTGCCTCCCAGCGCCCGGGTCTGATTCACAGGGAAAGTCAGGTCTCATCAGAGCTGGGTAGACACTTGTCCGCCTCCGGGGGTTTCCAGCCACATGTGCACACGCTGGCTTAGTGGGATGGGTGGGCTCTGGACAGGGAGGATGAGGAGGAGAGGCAATGTGGGTGAAGGTGGGGTTCGGCAGGCAGGGAGGGTGGTAACGGAGGCCTGGTGTGGGGGGAGGGTTTGCAGGCAGGCCTTAAGGGAGTGGGCTCGTGTCCTGATCTGGGTCGTGTGCTTGCTGAGTCCAGCAGGGCTGGGTGGTCCCAAGGCTCTAGGACTGGGGGCTGGAGAAGAGAGGGGCGGTGGTTCAGCTGTGGGCCGGGGCCTTCAGGGGAGCCTGGGGCCCTCGGTGACTGCCTTGAGCCATGCTGAGTGGCTTGGCCCAGTGCCTGGACTCAGGACCGAGCCCATCTTCCTCTGCCAGGTGAGCTCCACCTGACGCCTTTACACGGCATCCTGCAGCTGCGGCCCAGCTTCTGCTACCTGGATAAAGCAGACGCCAAGCACCGGGAGAGGGAGGCCGCCAATGAGGGTAAGCTGCGGCCCCAGCGCTCCCTCTGTCTATGGCGTGAGGGGCTGGCCATGGGGAGGTATCCAAGGGACGGATTAGGGATGCTCAGCACCCCGGCCTCTACCCACTGGATGCCAGTAGCACCCACCCCTTCAGTTTGGACACCAAAAATGTCCCCTCGTTCCCAGATGTCCCCTGGGGGTCAAAATGGCGCCCCGTTGAGAACACTGACTTAGAAGTCACAGGCAGTGCTGCTTGAGGCCCTAGGGGCAGGGTGGGTGTGGGGTGAGGGTGGGGGCAGGGCCCCAGCAGAGGCTGCGAGTGGGGCTTGTTGCTCTTGCAGCAGGAGACTCTTCGCAGGATGAGGCGGAAGAGGACGTGAAGCAGGTCACGGTGAGCTGGCCCTGGGTGCAGGCTTGTAGCTCAGCCTGGAGATGGCAAGGGTGGGAGTGTCTGAGCAGAAGCCAGGCTCTGGGCTGAGCTGCTGCTCAAACTGCCCGTTCTCTAGAGCCTCCTTGCTGGGCTGCTCCCCCACCTCCCGCCCTGGCTGTCCACTGTAGATGGGATTGCGGCCCCAGCTATGAGCCGGGGGCCTGGGGTTTGTGACCAGTGCTCAGGAGGCCCAGGGAGCCACGGACAGTCTGCCCCAAAGCCCCGTGTTAATCAGCGTCTACTTCTGTCCTTTCAGTGAGCATGGCTGAAGGGTTTAACGATTATTAGAAGAATATTGATCTTCCATTTATGGCTTATAAAGCTTCCTCCATTTAAGAATATTTTATAGGTTAAAATGAGTATTTAAAGAAAAATAGTGCACAAACGACGTAGAGGTTACACAGTGCGGCTAAAGGTGTGCGTGTTCGCACATCCGTGGAGATGTGAGTCCTGCCATAACCAGCGCAGGCTCACCCCCTTCTCTTGGGAGCTTGCCGGGTGACCTTAGGTGCCTCTCTCCCTTCTGGGGGCTCACTGGACCTGCTTTCACAGGCACTCTCAGGCCCATGTGCTTTAAAGGCCCCTGGAGAACCCCAGGATTCTGGAATCCAGCCACCGGCCCTGTGCAGGTCCTGTCACGGGTGAGGCGACTAGGACTCTAAGCAGCAGGCACCCAGATACAGCTGGACCGAGTCCAAATGGAGTGCTTGGTCCCTGGTCCTGGAAAGTTGAGGGCTGGCTTCATGCGTGGCTGGATTCAGGGGCTCAGACTCTGTCACTGAGACCTGATTTCCCCTGTTCAGATTCTGTCTTCCTCTTTCTCAGGCAGGGGTCTGCTCCCAGCAGTAGAGAGAGTTGTCCCAGGCTCACATCCTCCCAGCTTCCAAGACCTCGGGGGAAAGAAACTTCTTGGTCGTTACTTTTAAGTCAAGTTTCAGACTAGACTCGTTGGCTTAGCCAACCCTGCCCCTTCTCTGTGGCTGAGAGAACCTGGTGCTCTAGCTGTCCAGGTCTATTCATGTGCCCACTCCTGTGGCTGGGGATGAGTGTTGGGGGGCTGCAGACGGCGATTCGGGAGGAACTGAGGGGCAGCTGGGTGTTTCTCATAGGAAAGTGGGGGTGCCGTTACAGTGCGAGGGGGAATGAATCGGGCGGCCACCTGCCCTGAGAAGGCTGCTCCCTGGCCTGTGTGGCAGCTCACAGAGAGGGACCCAAGAAGTGGGGGCCTCTGCCTCCCAGTGGGGCTGGGACAGCAGCCCGGGGCGTGTCCCAGGCCTGAGGCCATGGTGTTCCCTACCCAGGTACGCTTCTCCCGGCCCGAGTCGGAGCAGGCCCGCCAGCGCCGCGTGCAGTCCTACGAGTTCCTGCAGAAGAAGCAGGCGGAGGAGCCCTGGGTGCATCTGCACTACTGCGGCCTGCGGGTGAGCGGGGCGGAGGGGCGGGCGGGGCCCCTGGCAGCAGCGCAGGTCCTGCACAGTCGTAGCATTCAATGTCCTCCTCACATCACTGCTGATGAAATGACGGAGAGCTTACCTCTTGTTCATACCAAGTGGCCCGTGGTACAGCTGGTTCTGTTTTTCGTTGCTTTGCTTAGTCAAGAACCCATGACATCGTTAAGTGAGGCCTCACTGTAGTGTGGGGACCGGCCAGCTGTGTGTCCTCCATTCCAGTTGGTCCTAGCGTTGTGCCCCTGAGGGAGGGAGGGAAGTGAGGGGGGGGGGCTGCTGGGCTGGGAGCAGGGCTGGTGTTTGGTTACATATTTTTCATGCATGGGGGCCTCGAACTCAGGCGACACTTCATCTGGTCCCCCGTAGAGACTCGTCCATCTGTCACATGGCCAGGGTCACCATGTACCTGCCAAGGGCAGCTTTTACTGTATTCAGTTTTCATCTCGTGTGCTGACTTGAAACTGTATTGAGTAAGGGAGGTAATTCAGTATCAGCTCCCAAGACATCACAGGCTAGGGCTCCCCAACATTTTCCTGGGGGACAAGAAGCTCCCGATTCCTCCAAAACCTTCCTGAAAGAGATTTGGGTTGACAGAGCCTTTGGCTCACAGTCAGACTCAGAAGCTCTGTTTCCTAGTGTATGACCTTGGGCAAGTTCCCTAACATCTCTGAGCCTCAGTTTTCCTATCTGTAAATGGGAATAATAATAATAGGATCTGACTTCGTAGAGTTATTTTGTGGCTAGGTGAGTTGGTGTCATATACACAGCCTGGCACACAGTAGGTGAATGTTAGGTGCCATTTTCTCCACTGCTGTTAGCATTCCTGCAGCACACGGGCACCGAGGCATGGGCAGTGCTGGGGCTAGGTGGTCGCGAAGCCGGAAAGTGGTGGGTTGAGGCCACATCACAGGCCTGGAGTGCCGTGCTCAGGGCTGCGTGTGACCCTGGGGCCGGCCTCAGGGCAGGACAGTGGGTGGCTGGAGCGGAAGGTGATGCAGGGGTGAGACCTGGATGGTGGAGGGGCTTTGGGTTGTGCAGGCCTGGACGTCATTGAGGCCCCCCCCCCCCAGGACAGCCGCTCTGAGCATGAGCGCCAGTACCTGCTGTGCCAGCCCAGTGGGGCGGAGAACACGGAGCTCGTCAAGTCACCCAGGTGGGACTGGCCAGCCTGACCCTGGCGTGGGGCCTTCCTCGGGACGGTGGCTCCTTCCGTAGCCTGGGGGAGAGACGCCCTGGGTGGGGAGGAGGTGGTCCTCCTTTGTCTAGCTGGGGGACAGGTGGGGATGTGGTCAAGGTGGCTTCAGCCGGGGGACAGCCTGGGTTCATGGGCAGGGCTGGGGCGGGGACAAAGCCCTGGGAGCCGCTGAGCCTGCCCTCTTCCCCCTCCCGCAGTGAGTACCTCGCGATGCTGATGCCCCCCAGCCCAGAGGAGGAGAAGTGAGTGGGGGGGCTGGACACCCCTCCTTCCACACCCCCTTCCCTGCCCCACCAGCCGCTCTGACCCATCATCACCTTTGTTGAACAGGGACAAGCCCGTGGCCCCCAGCAACGTTCTATCCATGGCCCAGCTGCGCACCCTGCCCCTGGCAGACCAGATCCGGATCCTGATGAAGAATGGTGGGTGGCCACTGTTCCCTCCCCTGGGTGCGAGGCCAGAGGCCCCTGTGCCCAGGGCCCACCCAGCTTTACGTCTAGACAGGAACTGCAGTGGGGCGGGGGCTGCCTCGCCTGCCACTTGCGTGAGCGTGGCAGGCCACCGACCTTCCTGAGCCCTAGTTCACCTGTAAAACGGGACTAAGAGCTCCCGGGGGCGTGGCGAGGGTTCCGAGCTGAGGCTGCTGAGGGGCTGGTGCAAGCGGGCAATGGGCACCTTGCAGCCCTTTACCAGCTGGGTGTGTTCACTCACACCGCGCTGGGCGCCTTCCCCAGCCCCCACATGGGGATTGGTCCCTTTTCTTGGAGGACTCTAAGGGCCAGAACCTGTGGGGTCTGGAGCTGGCGAGTGGGCATGACCCTGGAGCCTCAGAGCTGGGTCCCAGGCCCTGCGCTCCTCCTGCGGTGCCCACTGAGGGTCTCGGGGCCTGAGCAGAGAGAGAGCCCCAGCAGAGGGCGCTGGGCCTCCCTAGGCCCTGCCCGAGCTCACTTGGGTTGGGGGCTCAGGTGTTGGGGTGAGCAGACATGGGGGTGAAGGGCATGGATGCTGGACCCCAGTGGCCTGGGGTCCGATTCTAGCTCTGCCACTTACTAGCCAGGTGATCATGGGCGAGTTCTGACACGTCCCCGTGGGCTGTGGCTGAGGCGTGTCCTGGTCACCACTCACATGCTGGGGGTGTTGTGTGAGCTTGAAGCTCTGCAGACTGGGGGGGCAGGGGCAAGGGAAGGGCCCAGGCCCATCTTACCTGGCCTGACACCTGCTGTGTCCTCCTCAGTGAAGGTCATGCCTTTTGCCAACTTGATGAGCCTCCTCGGCCCCTCTATCGACTCTGTGGCTGTTCTGCGTGGCGTCCAGAAGGTGGCGATGTTAGTCCAAGGGAACTGGGTGGTGAAGAGGTAAGTTCCTCTAGTCCAGCGGTTCTCAACCTTCCTAATGCCACGACCCCTTAATACAGTTCCTCATGTTTTGGTGACCCCCAACCATAAAATTATTTTCGTTGCTACTCTATAACTAATTTTGCTATTGTTATGAATCGTAATGTAAATACCTTTTTGCTTTCCAATGGTCTTAGGCGACCCCTGTGAAAGGGTCGTTCGACCCCCAAAGGGGTCGCGACCCACAGGTTGAGAACCGCTGCTCTAGTCCCTCAATGGGAACAGTTAGCCATTGAAATTCAGTGTGATTACTGCTACTGGGGCTAAGTCGGCCATAGTGCTTTCTGGGTGTCCCATCTACATTGCATGTTCTATTCTTTCTTACCATCACTGGTGTACTCTTATATTACTCCATTTTCCCTGCTCATTTGGAAGTTATCCTTTCTTATCTTTTAGTGACCGCCCTGCTGATTTCTGCATGCATTTGTGACTTATCTCAGTCCCTTTTATCCTCATCCAAGAACTCAGCATGTTTTACATTATCTCCCTCCCAACTCACATGTCATTGTATTTGCATATTGGAACTCTCTCTACTTTAAACCTCACGAGACATTAATTATGTGGTCAGTGTCCTTTCGATCTTCTCACATAGGTACCTTTTCTTTTGCCCTTCACTCCTTTCTGCGTCTCTGAGTGTCTCTCTGGACTGTTTCCTTCCCCGCGAGAATGCCCTGGCATTTCCCGTAACGCAGTCTACAGGGCGTTGGTCACCTGGAAAGCCTTCCAGCCTTGTTCTTGAAGGACATGGTTCAGCGCGTGTCGCTTTCTCCTGCACATTGCTTTCTGACTTCCGCTGTGTCTGTCCACAAGCTCACGGTCTAGTGCCGGCTCCTTCGAAGGAAATACCTTTGTTGCCGTCTACCTTGTACTCTTCTCTGTCGTTTGGGCTTTGCACAGTTCACTAAGATATGTCCAAGTGTGGATCTCTTTCGATGTATCCTGTCGGGGTTTGTAGGTCTTGATTTTGTGACTCGATGTCTTCCAGTTGTTTCCCTCTTGGGATTCCGCCACCGGCCTGTCACCTGTCAGTGTTAGGGGTGGGGACCCTCTGTAGACCCTTCTTTATGTCTCTGGAACTCGGTACAGCCTGGCACAGGGCAGACCCTTGGTAAATGTAGTGTTGCTTTCTACATTTATGCTTGTAATTCTCTTGAATCCATGCTTGAACTAAATTCTAACTGGTGTGAAACACTCACTTCTTAGAAAGCGTGGTGTACGGTGAGCAATCTGTCAAAATACGAGCTGTTCCACATTTGTAAAACAGTAATTCACTGCAGAAAGCCCAGCGTTTCCCAGTTGGTTGGCCAAGTCCATTGTAAAGTGTATTCACGTCACTGCCACACGGTGACACCTGCTCCCTGGAAGCAGACGCACGGCCTACGGGGTTGGCACCTTGCAGCTGGTCTGCGTCACCCAGCTGGTTAAATATGGGAGGCCTTTGTGATGGCGCGTCACTCATTAGAGGGGACCACCCGTGTGTATTTGTGCCCCTCATGAGCGAGAGCCAGGGGCCGTTCCAGCATAGGCCCGAGGACACTGGCCCAGGGGGCAGAGACTTGCCAGCGTCCGGCAGCGAGGCCACCACAGCTGGGGTTCGGGCTCTGCCCAGCGCCGTGCGTGCCCCTGGTACTGCTGCCCTTTGCAGCCTCTGGTCTGTCCCCGTGATGTGAGGGTCAGGCCTCCTGGACCTTGCGTGGTATGTGGGTCCTGCTGTGTGATACCGCCCTCGCTGCCACACCGAGCCTGAGGGTACTGCTCCTTTGTGTCCCGGTGAGGAGAGGATGCAGAAGTCACACTTCTGTTCAGCAAACGTCCTTCCTGACTGCTTGTCTGGCTCGCATGGTGCTCCCTCAGACATGGTTCCTGTCCTCAGGAGACGGGGGGCAGGGAGCCCAGGGCAGCTGAGCACTGGATGCTGAGATCCAGGGCCCGGAGCAGCGGGTCCGACACAGGCCAGGTCCTTGTCCCCACAGCGTTTCCATGGGAATGGAGTGGGAGCAGCTGGTGGCCGGGTAGCATTGTGGAGGGGCCCAGGCAGCAGGAGCAGAGATCCAGCGGGCAAGGGGTGTTGGGGTGCTGTGGTCCCCGGGCCGTAGGGTCTGTGTCTGCACCGGGGGTCAGGCGGGGGCTGTGGAGCCTCGGCGCCCGCTCGCTCACCCTCGCATCGCCCCCGCCCCGTGCTGCGGGCCTGTGCTGCCCCAGCCCCTGACCCTTTTGCCTCAGTGCGCGCCCCCCCCCACACACACCAGTCTCTCTTAGCATCGCACCTGCTTTCCACGTGGGACTTGCTGTTCCCCAGACCCCTGGGCTGCCCATGTCTGTCTCCGAGCCCCTGCCCCTTCATGACCGACCGTACAGAGGCCCTTGGGGCAGGGCTACTTGTGAAAGGGGGGGCAGGGGGTGTCAAGAAGGCCGGAGGAAGAACTCCTGGGGAATGCACGTGGGATGGGCTTCTTTCCACAGAGCCAGGCTCTGAGGGGAGCTGTCAGTGCCCAGGCTGGTACCGGCCAGGGCGGGAAAGGTCCGCGGGCTTCCTTCCACTCAGAGCTTGGGGTTGGAGGGAGGGGCTGAGGGTGGGGACTGACCTGCCGCCCCTGCTCTCATTGGCAGTGACATCCTGTACCCCAAGGACTCCTCCAGCCCTCACAGCGGTGTGCCCGCCGAGGTGCTCTGCAGGGGCCGAGACTTTGTTGTAAGTGCCCAGGCCTCCTGGCCTCCTGGGTGGGGGAAGGTGGGTGGGGCAGCACAGGGCGCCCAGAACCTTGGCCGGGCAGCAGGCAGAGGGCAGCTGTTTACGGGCAGGGCCGGGCCTCTGGACTCTGTCACCCTCTTTCCTCTGAGGATCGTGGCATCTCAGCCTCATAGGGACCTTTGAGTTTATTTCACGGGGGGGACCGGGGGGTTGCGAGCCAGAGGCCCATAGGGACATATTTCGTTTGGCCTGAGTAGTGTTTTTAAAATGTTGGTTTGGCTGTTGATTTTCCAAATCAGAATCCTGATACAAATCAGGTTTCTAGCTTGTAATGAGTGATCGGAGAGCCTGGCAGGACTGGCCCATGGGGCTGCCGACCCCCGGCTCGCACCATCCTGGGCACGTGTGCGCCCCTCAGCATGTCCCTGCACTGTTGCCTGGGCTCCTGAACTGTGTTCCCTCATCCCGTCACCCCACCCACCTTATCCAGAGCTCAGGTCCAGGCGAGGCATCTCCTGGGCTTGAACTTGGAACTGCTGGGGACTGCACTGCTCCCGGAGCTCGCAGTGTGCTCGGAGTTGGCTGGGTTCTGCGTCCCTGGAGCTGCCCCCTGACCGTGGTCACGCAGGGCAGCCCTAGCTGTTTGGAGAGCGCGTCCTCATTTCCCAACCGGGTGGCCCCACTCCTTGGACAGTCAGCGTCCAGGTGCCCGTGTGCAGTTTCTTTGTGTCTC